AACCTGGCCCGAAAAAAAATTGGAGGGTATAATTTTTTTTTGGATTCGTATGTCCATTTATTCACGATTGACCACCCTATAGAAAATTTTTACCATTTTGGGTTCAAAAGTTATAAGAAAAAACGTTTTTCCAGCAAATTTTTTCAGTTCAAAAATATACCAAGATTCAAAAAAATTCGATATTTTACTACTCCCTGCGTTTGTTCATCTTTGGAAAACGATTGTACATCACATAACATCCACTACATTTAGTTCAAGGATTACAGGGCAAATCTATTTTATCCGCCATTTTTTGTAAATTCGACAAAATACAAGAAAATTCATTTAAATTTAAAAAAATCATTTGCATTCATTTATCCATTGTTTGAAGACGATTGCCCACCCTTTAGAAAATGTTTACTAGACCCCGTTCTCAAAATAGAAAAATTGTTTCGGATCCAATTCACGCTTTTACGAAATAACAAGATATTGCCTAAAATATTAAAAATACCAAAATTTGAAGCGCGCTTTTGTTTGTCCACCTTTAATCACAAACTAAATTATTTTTACTACTTTTCCTCTAGCAGATAATGCCGAAAAAAGTTTTTCACTGGACCCTGGTAAAGTGAACCTGACCCGAAAAAAAAATTTAAAATGCAATTTTTTTGTGTGGATTCGTTTGTCAATTTTTTTGACCACTTTTGCTCACCCTTTGGAAAATATATACCAACTACGGTTCAAATATTGACAAAAACATCTTTTTCCGTCATTTCTCAAAACCGCCAAGTTGGCAACAAACAAATAAAAAATTTTAATTTGTATTCTTTGTTCCGTTGTGTGAGTACTTTTGCCCACCATTTAGAAAATATTTGCCAGCCGTTTAAAAATTTTGGCAAAAGACGTTCATCCTGCCATCACTTATTTAAGAAAATTCCAAAACATGATCAAAAAAAATCATTTGAATTTGTTTGTCCATTTTTTGAGGTCGTGTATCCTACCTTTAGAAAATATTTAACTGCTACGGCTCAAACATTATTGATCAATATATTTAATCTCGTCATTTTCTTTAAATCTCCAAAATACGGAGAAACACATTGAACTTACGAACATTTTAAGTTTCATTGGTTTTTTCTATTGTTTGGAGGCGTTTGCCCCTCGTTTCGAAAATATTTATTGGTTACATTTAGATTTAGATTTAGATTAGAGTTATTTAGTAAAAAAAAAAAAGTGATATTGTAAGTGACGTAGGGGGGAGAAGATTATCTGCGCTGTTTTCTTGAGTTCCAGAATACCTTTCCGTCATTTTAATTATAAATAGTTAAAGATGAGTTAAAGTTTAAAATAAAAAAAATAAAAACATTTTTTGAAAATCGCGAGATTAGCAATATTTGAAAAAAATATACATTTTCGTTTCCGAGTTATAGAAAACTTATTTGCATCGTAAACGAATTGCAAGTATGATTCTTCTGCATTGCTAACAAAATAGTAACTCGCCCTTACCTCCACTCCTATCATTGAGAGCAAAATGAGAGTTCAACAAAACGTGCGCATAATGAAGCTACATTTACGTCCAGAAGCAAAACAAGGGGCCATCTCAGCATTTGATTAATCGATCAGGGAAACTAAAAACTTATTGGCGAAAACTTTTATTCCGCAATTTTTTAAATTTGCCGAAATATCTGGAAAAATTGAAATTACGAAAACTTTCATTTGTATTCGTTTGTCTATCATTTGAGCTCATTGGCTTATCTTTAGAAAATATTTTCCAACTATGGTTCACAAATTATTGGCAAGAAACTTGAATTCTCCCTTTTCTTTTTACAATCGCCAAAATAAAAAAAATATTGAAATTTCGGTTAGCAACTGAAAGGTTTTATTTGCATTCGATTGTCTACCATCTCACAATCTTTGCGAGGCCTTTAAAAATTTTTACCAGCTACTGTTCAAAAAGTATTAGCAAAAACATTTTTATCACGATATTTGGCACCTTGCCTAGAACTCAGTAAACAAATAAAGCAACACACATTTTGCAACGTCGTAACTGGGCCAGGACCTTACTGTATCATTTTAAGAGGAAAAATAACACCCATACCATTTCCTTGCATAATTGTGTCGATCCTTGAAATACAACCGTGTTACGAGAAATAACATGTTTCGTTCACGGTACATACTTTCTCGCCTATCGTAGCAAATACATCATACAATTTTACAACACTTTCTATCTTAATTAACTCATTTTTTTGTGAAACTCGTTAAAAATTCTAGAATGTTAGGTGCGAAAACTAATTATTTTCAATAAAATATCAACAGAAATTCGACAATTAATTCTGCTAAATCATGTATCAATAATGATACGGAATTCACAGAAATTCACAAGTACGTACACAGTGAATACGAGGAGAAAATTTAAAGAAACAGAATTGGGGCTGTTTTTTTTTCTTCAGAAAAAAAAAACGTTTAAAAGAATTTAAAATTATTTATTTCATGCAAAATTACGCAAAAACTACTCAAATGTTTGCAAAATTGTATATGACATTTCAAAATCTGTCTTTCGCTCCTAACGTTCTAGAATTTTGTAATAAGTTTTACAGAATTGTATGACGTAACCTTTACTAAAGGCGATGAATATGTGCTTTTTAAAAACAGATTTCATAATCATAAATCAATTTTCATTATTGTAATTCTAGGAAGACGCTGAAAATGTTTTAACTTTTACAATTTTAGAATATTCGGAAAGTGGAACAAAAATGGGATCTATGCAATTTCTTTAGGCGTCTTTAAAATTTGGAGTAATTTTTGAGAAAATTTTGAAAATGAGGCTTTTTGTAAAGTACTCATAAAAATCCAATTATCCGTTTGGAATTCAAGGGCCCACGATATCAGTCAGATCAATCGTGATATATCGATTTGGTTATAAATCCCGCTTGCGTATAGCTGCTTGCGTGGTTCGCAGACAGAAATACATTTTTCCATCAATCGGTTTTTCAGTATCACTATCAATGACGCACGAAATGTGGGTTCTGACTCCACAATGTTTTAGAGAACGGAACACGATTTTATCCACTATTTCGTTACCAGGGACCTGCAATAGGAGTTTTCTGTCTTCTTTTTCTTGTTTCTTTCTTTTAAATTTTTCTACTTTCAATGCAAAATTGCGTAAAAACTAGTCATATTTTTGAAAAATTGTACCTAACCTCATTTAAAGATCCAACTTTGTAGAACGTATCTTATGAAGATATTTTTTCTTCAATCTATCTCCCTATCTTCAATGTTGTAGTTGAATGAGAACGCTGGAAATATTTTTTCATTGATTCACTCTAACTCAACTCGATGCGCAGATTTTCCAAAACACTGTTCACGTCACAATCATATAACCATCAAAATGTTGCAAACAATTTCATGTTTTGCTTATTATGAGAAATCGCTATTAAGTGCAGTTTATTTTGAAGAAGATAGTTACTTTTCTTTAGTATATAATGAAATTGTGAGGAAGGCTGCCTGGGAGGTTATTTAGCAACAACAAATGTTCAGTTGACATGCCCATAAAAATAACTTTCATTTAAATTCTTTGATTAAATTGGAAGCAATGACTAAAATTATCTTGCCCTTGTAAGTTCACTGATTATTTTTTTATATCCGCTAAAAATATTGATCTAACATGTAATTATTACGTAAATCAAGTGCAATTCTTTTTTATCTGACTTAAAAATATTATCAGTTCTTGCTGTAAGTCATAATATTTTTAAACATTCCTCGCCTTACCTAGCTAACATTATTAAAATATACGATAGAACCATATTTAGAAGATAATTCGCTGGGCAATTGTTCGAAATGTCGATGAATTGATTCTTTGAATTCCCTACACACTGCTGTTGGTTTTGAATTATGTTTTGCTGAAATCTATTTATTTCTTCACAATCAGAATACAATTTTTAAGGGTGTGAAAATTGAAGTGTTTAGGCAAGATTACATGGACGACGAGGAGCTGGCCCATCGTCCCAACCCCCTACTAGGAGGATCAGGATATTTTTGTAGGGTTTACTCCCCTAAGAGGATGGCTGCACGGGGATTTTGAGCACCTCCTGCCCAGACCTCTTGTGGAATCTTGTTCCGTTGGCTTAAATCATACCCGTGCCCTCGGTAGAAATATAAGCTAAGATTTCTGCCTAACTCTTCGCCGTTTCGAGATCCTCTTCAGTGCACTGTACCGGATGTTCTCTTCTTGCGCTTTGCAAGATGCTTGTACATTGTTTCTGAGTTTTTCAAGTGATGGCTTAAATGTTAATACGATAGAGGTGCAATTTTTTACGAAACTAGCGGAACCCGGTAGCCAGTGTCCTGCACTCCATCTCTATCTCCTTCCCGCTCCTCTCGGACAATCGCAGGGGCAGACACTCATAATACTTCAGGGTGCTGCGGGTTGCGTAGAGCCTGAACAGGGGCGCTTGCATTAGCATATAAACGCGCGTCTATGTGCGCAGGCATATGCACATTCTCATTGTACTATGTCTATATTTTTTCCACTGTGTGTGTATATATAGATACTGCCACTGATTATGTGTCTACACAATTGCATGTTCAACATCACATGTTTATTGAAGATTATGCCCCACCTATAAAACATATTAGCATTTAATACAATTTTATTAAGCTCCAAAACACAAGTCAATACGAGGCATACCGAAGCATGCAGCGTAATTGACTAAAAATTATTGTTTTTGATATACATGTCTTATTTTTAACCATTGCCTAAATAGTCAAAACAGGTAGCCAGCCTACCTATTTTCACTGGGGAGAGAGAAAGAAAAGACGGAAAAAAGGGTCTGGTGGCCACACTAATTGCCATTTTTACACTTTTTGTGTGTGAAAACAATGCCCACTTCATCTGACGTCAAGGATACAATAGAATAAACTCTAGTAAAAACAATGAAAGAAGACATATCACCAAACCTAATGTAAACATTATTTATTTTTAACACTCAAATATATATTTAAGTTTTACTTTAAGCACAGTATTGTTTTGACAATACCTTTAATATAAGCTTGAAATTGTTTCTGATAAATCATTCTGAATAATATATATATGTACACGTTTTAAAAAATAGATGTATACAATTCAGTACAATATAATAAATATTTTTTTAAAACACACACAATTCCAACTAGTAAAAAGGAACACTAACAAAATAAAATTGTATAGTTGTTAAAATAGATAGAAGCTGATGTCAAATAGTTCTTTTCTTGTGTAATGAGCAAAAAATGAATGGTATTACATGACATTTACTTCTGCTTTAACGTTAGAATAATTAATTGTACATATAATACATCAATTTAAATATTTATAGAATAGAAACGTTCATTTTCTTGAGCTCTAAGACGTCTGTTAGACTCGTAATATCATTATAAACTGATATTAACATATATACTCCTGTGAAATGTTATAATGACCTGTTCAGAAGCTGTGGTACAGGCATGTGACAGTACAGCTGAAAGTAAAAAGTTTGTTTTTACAACACATGAAAAACACAAAGAAGAGTTTCTGTTTGAGGTTCTATTACAAGAATGAAATAAATGTCAACAATTGACATTTCATTTGCAAATTTTTTTAAACTTCAATAAATAAAAAATAAATATATAAGATCTTGTATGAATTGACACTGATAACTGAATGAAAAATGGCAAAAGAGTAATGGTTGATCTTTAAGCCAATAATAATTTATAGAGTCCTCTGAGAATTATCATTTGTCATTACTTAAATGTCGGTAAGTGAAACAAGTATTTGTTTCCATAAGAGAGCATCCAGAGCAAGAGCATATACCACAAATTCTTTGCAAGTCAAATTGCTAAGAAGTCTTTCTTTAGAATCCTGAATGGCAATTACAGGAAAGTGTACTATGCTTTTTCTCAAAAGAATTTTATACACTCGTTTCATGATTAGCAGAAAATTAAAACAAATGGCCAGGAGGGCGTCCATCAGACATATATACATATTTATGATTGATTGTTATTTGAGCTGAATAAGCAAAATATTTTCAGTTACCTCTTATGTACACCAATGCACTCCTACACACACACACACACCTATATACAGAAATCTTTAATACACAATTTAGTTCATGCTTGCATGTATATATAAATACTTTCCACTGGCATAAGTAATCTATAGTTGTATGCAAAACACATTATTTACAAAAATGTGGAATGTCTTTGCCTCTAATCAATTTTACAATAACTAAATAATTATGGAATGAGCGAGAATATACTTTTTGGAATTGTTGGGCGCTGTCTAGATTTATTATTCTTTAAAATATATGCAACCTTTTCTCGTGCTTCAGATCGGGAAATATCACCACGCAAACTGAGAAGATGAGTTAAATGGTCTTGTGTTACATCAGGATATTTATCCACTATACCATGCAAGTCAAGTGATAGAATTTCTGGATCTTCACTTTTCAAAACTTCAGCCAATGATAAAATTATTTCAAATGGAGAATCAAACTTTGCAACTTTTGGTGCAATACGGATGAAGACAGCTTTGATCTGCTCAGCTTCTTTCATGATCTTAACAGCAGCATCTCGTCGTTCTTCATAAGTTTTAAATGACAGTTTTCTCTGAAGCATTGATGAAATATATCTTTTTGCAACTAAGTTTTGAGCTTCCGTGATAACATAATCAAAATTTCGAGGACGTAAATGAATGTAATCTTGAAAATAATCTTCTAATGTCACACAAATAGTGTCAACTGGAATATTGTTGCCTAACCACTTGCTTGTTACAAGGTCTTGGAAGTGAAGTTCAAGATCCAAAAATGCTTCCTCTAGGAGAAATTTGGCTGCTTCATCTCGCAAATGCTGCGAACATTAAAATAATTACTTAAGGAACACATGATATTTTTTATTCTCTTCCTAACATATACTATATATTTACCTGGAAAGTGTTAAGTAAAGCTTCAAATTTCATTCCCGCTTCATTATCATGAAGACCTGGTCTCCAGTAATGCTGCTTCATCTGTTGAGCCAACTCAGTAAAATGAAGACAGTTGTTGACAATTGTTATCATATATTGAGTGAAATAAGGGATCTGAAATAAAAGAAGTCAGCTTCTTAAATCCTTTTTGTATAATGAACTATCAGGTCTTTATTCTATTTTGCAACCCATGTCTGGGAGCACCTGCTTCTTGTTTTGCCAATTTGGGAACGTGTGAAATACATTTGGCATTAATTTCTCTTTTAGCAACCCCGGCAGTTGTGTGCCCTCAAATTTCAGATAGGAAGAATGCGACTATTGTGAGTAAAGGAAGAGGAGTTGCTAGAAATTCAGGTTTTGAAGCACTCCACCGAGACTTCACAATTGTAGCACATAAGTTGCAACAAAAAAATTCAAAATGTGGTCTTACAAGGGGCAGCCCCTTCAAAAACTGAAGACACCAGACAGGGACGTGGGTCTGCATTTCTGCCATTGGTTTAAGAACTTCATTTGATTATGGCGTCAAGGATGTGACACCTGTTTTAATTGATGAAGCTTGGTTTCATCTCAATATAAATGTAAACAAAGAGAACTGTTGGTTGGGCCGCACATTGAAACCCACATGAAAGAAGACGAGAGGTACTGCTGGTTTCAGAAAGACAGTGCCCCACGTCACACAGTGCACAATAGAATCAATTTTTGAACAGAATTTATCGTAAAACAAATTGTTTTAAAAGGTCTGTGACCACCATATTCCCTATATTTTACTCCATTGAACTTTTTTCTATGGAGTTTTGTTAAGTAAAAAATTGATGCAAATAAACCAACTTCTCTTTAAGATTTACATTGTAACATTACAGTCTATTGGGTAAATTGAGGAAGTTACTCTTCAATGTTTTGCAGCCACTACACAGAAAAGAGTAAATGCCTACCTCTTGACAAATGGTCACTTGAGCAATAACTCTAAGGTCAGTTCGCCATTTTAAGGAAATAATATTTCATTATTTTTTATTAATTATTTTCAGTAATTAATTTATTACCTATTGATATTTTATTAATGTTATTATTATTTTTTTAAAGATTTTCTCATTAGTTTAATTTCCAGGTTCAATAATAATAATAATAATAATAATAATAATAATAATAATAATAATAATAATAATAATGATATAATAATAATGATTATTGTATCCTGTGTAGGCAGGGGGTATGAGCTGTAGGCAGGGGGGCTGCGAGGTCGTATTTGTGATTGACCCTTCACCCATAATCATCCTATCATCTCATAATTCAAGACATAGCAACCTTGTCTTAGCAAGGGATACAAATGAAAAGCTGATTCCATTAGTTACACATGCTAATCTTGAAGTCAGTAATGGCCAATATGCTAATATTATAATTAGTATTATAACTATACTACTATAATTACTATTATAAATCATGAAGATCTTGGCAGTGATGTTTCATAAAATATATTTTGGACTTTTCTCCGAGGTGGCTTTCATTAAATAATTATTGTTGTTATGTTACTGTTAATAAATAAATAAATCAGTCATAACTCTCCTCTACATCTCTATTATCACAGTTTTGTTACTTAGGCATGTGCTACCACTGTACAGAATTGCATAAAGTGATGTTTTCTGTGCCCGCTCATGTCTCTGTCCACCCCACCCAGCTCAGCACAAAAAGATTCCGACATTTGAGTCGCAAATCTGCTCACTCAAATTCTTCAATGGGAAAAAAACAGAAAAAAGTTGCTACCTGATCAGTCATGATCTGATGCTCACCTCCTCCTCTGCTTTCTCAATGTGCCAGCCACGTCTATCTTGAAAGAAGGCAAAGATACGCGGTTGCCAATAAGAAGAGCATGTGCTCCATCACATGGGTTGCAATAAAAAAAAAAAGAAAGAAAGAAAGAAAACTATACATATACAAGTGGTCTGCAGGAGCAAAAATGCTGTTGAACAAACCACACAATGATTTTCCAAAAAGTAGCAACAAATTAAATATTTTAATAAAAACTGAAATAATGTAGTACTGTACTGAATACTGCATGTATACATATACAGTATAAGCTTTTTACAAAAAAACAAAAGTAAAAAAATTGCTGTTCAATAACACAATATATGAATAGCAAATATTTAATGACAAGTCCCCTCTTCCTTGGAGTCTTGCTGTTAGACTGTCAGCTGTGTCATAAACATAATGACGCACAGAGAATGAGAATTCAGTCGCAAGCTTTTCAAGAATAGGTTGGAAACAATCAAATATTTGGACTTTTCAGTGAAAACCAAAAATTATTTCATGGTTTTTGGATTTTTTTGTGAGTTCCTGGGTATCTAATGAAAATACAGACACCTTACATGGCTGAAAACTGCATCGTTTTCTTTGAATTTCTGCACATATTGTAGTTTAGTAATATAGACATTTTTGTATTTCTCCTGAGTTCCACATTAACTAATGAAATCACTCTCAATTCCTGGTTACCTAATGACACCTCACACATGGATGGCTGCATAGTTTTCTTTCAATTTTTGTGTATATCAGAAATTAGTAATATAGATTATTTTTCTTTTCAATTGATCTTGTAATTTTTCTTTCAATTAGAGTGTTTTTGTTAAAAATGTACATTTCAAAAGCCTATTATCTATGCTCTAGAAATTGAGCAGTAACTAGTCACAAAAGCAATTGACTTTCAGTACATTTTCTGTCAAAAATCTACCAAATGCCACCAAGCATTACCACTACTCTAAATAGAGCACACATTCGTTTACAAAGTATTAGAGTACAACAGCCTGCATAAAATTTTCAGAGCTATTTTTAACTTGTTAAAATACCACTTTCGAAATGAGTTTCAACATAAGATCTAACCCCTAAGTTCCTCACCTGACTACGATCTTCAAAGTGCCCAATTTTAAATTCTAAAATGGCTTCTCTGTACATTTTTCCATATTGAGTAACTTGTTCCATACTCAATAAAAGGGCTTTGAATGTCAAGTCTTGACTAGAAAGTGGAAAGAAGAGATTAAAACCAAGTTTACAAGCATGTAACAGTTCAGACGATGTTACAGAAGACGACATTACCTGATAGTTTTGGTGACTTGAAGATTTTGATCTATCATCTGAAATATGATTATTGGGGCTGAAGTATGGTAGTAGCCTTCTTGATCATCCCCTTCAGGCGGAACTCCATTACCCCAATCTGCCTTTTCAGTCTCCAAAGTCTTTTGCATCCACTCTACATAATTTCCTTCCATATACTGAAAACCACAGTACAAACTAAGATATCTGTGCACAGTGTAACAGAGTTTTCACTGTTTCTGATACTAAATAAATAAAATAAGTAAACCTAAAAGTGTACTATCATGGTTGTACACTTTGCTATAGAAGTCGTGTACATCAATTTCTGCTGCAGACACAAATTTTCACTCAGTCAAATTTTTTAAATGCTAAGTCCTGAAAGATGTCAATTGACATAAATTACTGTGATAACTGTCAATGCACAGGACATTTTGAGCAAATTACTGAAATGAGAGAATATTCCAGACTAAAAATGTGAAAACGCTGAAATTTGCATTTCTTCAGTCCCAATTAACAGATTCAATCTGTACATATTCCTTAATATTACTGAAAATCAGCTGTATCGGTAAACTTTTCAGAAAAGAAAATTAAATAACTCAATGCATGTGAAGACAAAAATGTTACATGACAAGAGATTTTCACATCAAGTACTTCATTGCGAGTAGTATTTCATTGCACTTGCAACAAATTTCATACACCTATTTGATATGGGGCTTAGTTTCGGTCTTCCCACATCACATCAATTATTTTGCCCAGAAGTGTACATATACAAATGCTTATACATCAACATGGACTTTTGCATCAACACTAGACATGTTTTTTAATGTATTTTTTTAATGACTAATAAAATGTCAAAATGACCATTATGGGTTCTATTAATATCATCAACATTAAGGCAACATAATTATTGACAGTTCTACAATCAATAGTAAAAAAATTATGTTTTCAGCACATGTAATACTGCTCACCATTTCATTACTGACCTTTAGATACCGTTGCTGAAGATCTTCTACCAGTTCAGTTGGTAATAAAGGGCCAATAACAGACACATCTACTTTCAATTCAGGGTGTTGCATCAACTCAGCTCCAGGATATGTGTTGGTAATCCATGCGAGCATTGACACATATTCATTCCCTTCCAGACCATTCTGGATTATATCCTGCAACTGTGTGAATCAACAAATGGATTACTAGAATGGATTGATAGGGGAGAAATTATTGTATCATCATTAGACATATAAGAAATGGATATATGCATAATAAAATTTTAGAAATATTTGGTTAATAAAATAATGGGTCATATTCTGTTACTAAATAGGCAGGGTTACCATATTTTCAAGGCAAAAAGCATGTGTATGAAATCAAGAGACTTCAATTTTAACAATAGCTCACACTTTTGCATTGGCATTTTTTGTGGTGGCGGTTGTGTATGAACACGTCATAAACATGTTTACCAAAGACATCAAATTACACACACAATACATATGAAGGTTTGCTGTGAATCATGCTACAACTTCAAGATAACCAAACAAGCATGACTTGATCTCTTGCAAGACTGATATCTTAACAAGGACAACAAATTGAAAAGAAATCTCTATTGACTTCTCCATCCAACATTCTCTTTGGTTCAACTGATGTTAGATATTGATATATCATTGCAAGATGACAGAGACAATAAAAAATACATTTCAATGAGTGCACACATTTAATGATTTACATTCAACATGAATTCACATATTAGAACTTGGTAACTCCTAATTATATTATAAATAACCGGGAGGTTTTATTCTGAACAAAATTCGCTCAGATAGCCATTTTTTATACAAAAAAGAAAAACTCTAAATAACAGACCCTGTGTCATGGTAAATAGAAATAGTCCTATAAGAGACTCTTTGACTTTCTACTGAAGCAATTAATGTTTAAGGAACTAATATTGATAAGAGTACACTCACATGTTGAGACAAACAAGTATGATACATGTTGACATATTTATTGACAATATCATACTGAGGTGGAAAGCATGGTACACACAATGTTTTTACAACTCTCAAATCTTCCAAGATTAACTGTCGGGTCAACTAGAAAAGAAAATGCAATAATTATAAATCTATACAATGCAATAATTAAATATCTATACATTTTTGGATGCATAAAATCATCAGATTATACTTACTTCTAGATAACGTACAAGCCACATCTTATTATCCATTCTTTCTTCAACTTGAGTACCTTCAATTCTCTGTGCCACAGCTTTCTCCAGAACCTGTAGAGCCATTGCCCTCCACTTCTTGGGGCGCCCTGGAGGGAGGAACCCACTCTGCCGCTGGCGCTGTAAAATACATAGCTTCCATATACTCTAAAATATTGTATGAAAATAAGTTCCTGGCGATCTTCTATAAGTTAATAGTTTTCTTTCCCAGATGCTAATGAAAATTATAGTAAATGATAATAAACCTTCCCTCAGATAAAAAGTTTTCAAATATATTTTGCATAGTCCTCAAATGTACATTTACACTGCTGTTTTAATAAATGAAGATGGCTCATAAAAATGCTATTCTTGAAACCTAACAGTTAAGAGCAACATGAACAAAGATTCCAAATCAACCTGAAGTGTAAAACTGTCTGCTTTTTCTTCTCTCTCAATAATCCGTAGGGCAGTCACAATAACAGTAGGCTCTTTTCGCACAGTGTTGAGGGTACGGCTAAGAACTAGTCGTAGTTGCTTCTCCAACAAATGAGAGAGTTGTTCAACATCTTCAAAATATGCTTTCAACATTATCTTGTCAGCAAGCGCTTGATTTGGTAATTTATGAAGTTCATAGAGCAAATCATCTCGAGAATTTTCCAAGTCAGTCAAACTCTGCAACAAAAACCATTAATTAGATTTACCGGTACAGAAAAATTCAAAATTATTGAAGCATAAAAAATGTGCAAGCATAACAAAAAATTACTTGATGGGTGTGTAATAATTTTCCTTCATTAATCCACTGTTTTGTTTTTTCTACACTTTCAGGCACAGTGAAAATGTGTTTGAGATTTTCCATTGCCGTAACATACTGAGAGTGTCTCATGTTTTCATCCCTCACATCTTGTAATTTCATGTACAGCTCTGGGACAACTGAAAATGATTCTTCAATCCACTTCAGACTACAACAGAAGATAATAATTGTAAACTACATTAATTTTTTCAGCATACAGCATTGTAAAACCAACAAATTTACTTTTCTTTTATGCTACGAATGTCTTGCAGAGCAGATTGCAATTGATTCAACCCTACACGAACTCCATCAAGCTGGCTTTGCATTGCAGTTTTCAACATAGCTTCAACAGATGCCTTTTTCCGACTAACACGTCTCTTATACTGTTCAACCTACAAGAGATACAAAAATTAAACCATTATATTCCAAAGTAATACTAAGAAGTGTATACAAAATATTTTTAATTCAATGGACTGTTTCTGTACTGACTGGGAATTCCGAAGATTGTCTTAAAACTGAAGCACTATAAATAACCTGTTGACAGACAATCAATACAATTACAATTAAAAATATTTTCATGCATACCTTTTCTAATTGTCCAGGACGCTGAAGCATGTTAATGACATGTTTCGCTGCTGTAGCTTTTGCTTCAGCTTCTAGCTGCTCAACTTCCATTATTGAGATAAAAAATTCCACCTGTTTCAGAGCTATGCCATAGCATAAAGGAAAATAAAACTTCCCGTTAAAATGTTTATAATCACACAGTACATTAAAATATCTAATTAACAATGAAAACTCTGACAAAATGATATTCAACAAGTCTTGCATTTCAGAGTTAGATGTTAATTCATAATATTTCTATAACTGAGTGGAACATTACATTCATGCATTGTTTGAAAAGTGCATACTACAGGGATACAGTTGAGTCTTTAATTTTGAACAGCTCTCCATCAGATCATTGTGGAATACATTTCTCAAAATAAATGTACACAATAATTCTAGGTAGACGACTTGGTTTATTTCAATTCTTTTAACATCTCTTGGAATAAGGGGGGAATACAATTGTTTGACATCCACTTGCTTACCTCAATTAACTAGTAACCTTTCATAATCCGAAGGGTGAGAGCGTTTCTAACGAATCCTAACCCTAACCCATAAAGAGCCACCAACAGAGTGCTACTACTCAACAGCAGTAACTGCTACTACTGTACTGTAGAGATTCGCTCTCAGCTTCACTTCAAGAACAGTGTTTGCTGAGCAAGCCTAGTTTACACGATGCAACTGTGTATCGCATGCATGCAATTGACGATCATTGAAGAGGTCGAATGTGTTAATGACGTCGTATTTGAACATCAAACTCCCAACTTCGGCCCTCTATTTCTCTAGGCATCGTTGTGAAGTCTTGCGAAAATTCATTACACATTATTTGAACACACATAAATCAAATTCAACATTTTTTATTTACTAGTATATTTATACAAATGTATCCATATATGATTTATATATCTTGCAAAAGGACACGCGACTTCATGTTGCAAGATTCTTTCCAGTGACATTTTTGAGTGTTACAAGGCCGATAAACTTATAAATAGATTTGTTCAAAAAATCAAAATGAGAATGGAATTAACATGCAATGACACCTGGGACGGTGGGCGTAACTTTGGCAACTACAACTTTCTTTTTATAAAGAGATGTCCAGAATGACGTCACGTGATCACTTTTGGCGGGAAAGTGTTGGGTGGCTGGTCCGTGAAAGGGTTAATAGATAGATTGCATTTATTTTGACAAAAAACTGTATGTGACGTATGGGGGAGAATATCCTAGAGCTTTAGTACATTTTGGATTGTAGTTGGTTGTAGTGTGCAGTTGTTAATATTTATGTCTCGTTCCACATTTGCTACATTTTATATTATATTTATATATACGATGCTATTTGTTTTCTTTCGGTTTTTTGAGGTTCTGGCTGCATATCTGTTTCAAAAATTTGCGTTCTCTGGAACGTGTTTATCGATAACGTCAAATCTTTTTCATTTCGATAATGACTCGAAGTAAATATTGGCCTAAACTATGATGCTCACGTGCGATATTATAATACAATTTAATTTATAGAAGATTTGGATCCACGGGACCTTTCACCGGATAAGAAAAGGCTTAGATTTCGCACCAAATGTTCCGCCATTTGTAATGAGTTTTGCAACAGACGTCTAAGATGTGAAAATTCGGAGAGAAATTAAGGTATGATAGTGTATATATAACCATAACCAAGGCGAGAAAGTAAGTGCTGTTTTAACACCACCAGGTGGCATGTAAAATATTGATTTTAGAAAAATTATTATTATTATTATTATTATTATTATTATTATTATTATTATTATTATTATTATTGTTATTATTATTATTATTATTAGTAGTAGTAGTAGTAGTAGTAGTAGTAGTAGTATTATCATCATCATCATCATCATCATCATCATCATCATCATCATCATCTCCCTCTTTCACAGGGAATGACCTTGAGTTCCGGCAGGGCATCCACACCAGGTTGCATCCAGCTTCCTAAGGTGCAGAGTCAGTGATCTCATTGATTCTACAAAACCTTGCGCAAAATGTCATGAATTTCGTAATGTTTACTGAAGCCTGGGATCTTAGTCAAGTGCTTTGTACAATCTTTAAGATGGAACCCAGGGCACCTATTATTACTGGCACTACCTGTTCTAACATTCCACATTCGACTGACCTCGATTGCAATATCTTTGTATTTTAGATATTTCTCAGCAGACTTTGTTGTTACATTTCCATCACATGGGACAGATACACTGCACGATCAAAAGTATCCTGACACGTCCAAAATAGTGTTATGGCGTGGTCGTGATTTCAGGGAGAGGCTAGCACCCCTGGTTGTTTTGTGAGGCACTATCGTGACACAAGCCTACGTTGATGTTTTAAACATCTTCGAGCTTCCCCCAGTTGAAGAGCAATTCGTGGATGGTGATTGCATCTTTCAACACGAATTAGCACCTGTTTATACCGCACGGCCTTTGGCGTAGTGGTTACACGACAATAACATCCCTGTAATGGACTGGCCTGCAGGGAGTCCTGAATAGAATCCTACCGAACAACTTTGGGATGTATTGGAACGCCGACTTCGTGCCAGGCCTCACCGACCTACATCGATACCTCTCCTTAGTGCATCACTTGGTGAAGAATGGACTGCCATTCCCCAAGAAACCTTTCAGCACCTGATTGAAAGTTTGCCTGCGAGAGTGGAAGCTGTCATCAAGGCCAAGGGTGGGCTAACGCCCTATTTTAATTCCTGCATTACCGATGGAGGGCGCCACGAACTGGTAAGTCATTTTCAGCCACGTGTCCGGATACTTTTGATCACATAGTGCACATCAATGAGAAGACATGTTTTTTCTATTTTCTTTTTTTTTTCTTCTTCTTCTTCTTCTTATTATTATTATTATTATTATTATTATTATTATTATTATTATTATTATTAATATTATTGTTGTTGTTATTAATCACGTCTCAAGATATAATATTATATATTCTACTCCGGGGCTGCAGCCAGTTTACTAAAGAGCAGATCTTGGGATTATCGGTGCCTCTACAACACTTTGCGCAAATTATGGACTGTTTCAAACAAAGCAATATCTTGCACTTCCCAGTCTTTTGAATTACCTGAAAGTTTAGCCAAGTTTATACACACATTTCACGGAACACATCTCTGAACTCCGTTAACTACCGGAATGACTTGTGCTTTTACGCCCCACTTTTGGATGATCTCGATTTCCAAAATTTTGTATTTAAGAGGAGAGGCCACCATGTATATCGCCAATGTTAAATTTGCTATTATTGAAGAACATTTTCTAGAAAATGTTTAACAAGAAAAAATTGAGATTTCAACACAAACATTCTTATTATTTTGACATTTTTGTAATTGTTTAAAAAATAATTAGTATTTTTATCATTAATAAATTTTGCCCTAATTTTCTATTTCGGACAAATAATATTTTTACTATGTTTTATTATTGAAGAATGTTTATATAAATAAGTAAATTTATTGCCAATATTATACAGAATGTATGCTGTAAATTTCAACAAATTGTGAATGATTGTTTCTGAGAAAATGTACATTAATTACAAAATAAGTAATTTTCGGAAAACGCTATTTAAAAATATCTGTTTCGCTGCTCTATTAGAACATTTCTACTCCATATTCTGGATCATCTTCTTCAGCGGCAAAAAAAAAAGCAATGCTACCAACGTATGATCAAGATCATGTTTCATTAACTCATGAACAACGCAACATGCGTTCAAAATTAAGAAAAATAGCACAATATTACGAATTACGAACAATAGCAGAAACAGGGGCGATGGCCCGAGACAGGGGTTTACGAAAAATTGGGGCGTGGCTCTTGCGTACTAACACATTTACATAAGATTTAAAGGGACTTTCAGGCATCATAAAAGGAAAATGTTAATAAATTTAGAAAGAACAAGGTTTTAAATATTTATATTGCCAGAAAATGAAAATCGATAATTTCACCCATTTCATTGTACCCTCTCCCCTTACGACGTTTCTCTGCCTCTTTGGTTACGATGTTTTAATCGCAAAGCACAGAAACATCTACAAGTAGACACTTTTTTCTCCAAATCCAGGATAACAATATCCGGTCTGTTTGTCATCGTCATCGTGCGGTTACTTTGAAGTAGTTGGTCGTACAGTATTGTACACAGTCCAACATACGTCACCGGTTTTGGTGAGTATTCGTACAAATTGGAGCATGTGTTTGGAACATCGAAGGCGATACAGATCTGCCAGTGGAGGTAACTACACACCCTATCGCAAATCCAGATTACCGAACAGGTTGAGTAGGTTTAACCTGGGTCGCGCAATTTTTGGTCATGGACGAATGTCAGCGGATACAAAATTTCATAAGGCGAAGTTTTGAATGTTTTTTTTATATTTTTTATATTTGTAATGAAATAAAGTGATAAAATTATATATATATATATATATATATATATATATATATATATATATAAAGAAAAAAATCATCCATTTAACTTATTAATGCCCATAAGGATACCAGGTACGGTCATCCTGATAAGGTAATAGAAATAATTAATGAATTAAAGAAAAACCCACCCCCAGTTGTAACAAAGGGCAAAGAAGGGCAATATAAAATAAATGTGTATGGTGATGAAGATTTTAAGATAATGTCTATTATTTTAGAGAAAACGGTATAGAATGGTTTAATTACCAAAATAAACAGAATAGAGCAATTGAAGTCATGATGCGAGGACTCGATGGGGATGTCATCAAAATAGCCCTTCAAAACGAAGGCTTTAACATAATGGATTCATTTAACATGCAAATCAAAAAAGATAATCCAAAAAATAAAGACGAAGAAATTACGGTGAAAGCACCTCTGCACGTGCTTACATTTGTAAGTGGTAAAGATCCAAGAATTGTTTTTGGAATTAATCCACTACTTTATACGAAAGTAAGAATAGAACTGCGGTCCGAACCGCATGTCGTTACAGAGGCTGTCCCATAGCTGATAAATATCAAGTTGCAAATTTACTTGAAGCCCAAAGATTAAAACATAATCTCTAACAAAAGTTTAAAGAAAAAATTTAGAGCCTGTTTTCAGAAATTTTTGAAAATTTCCGGATCGCTTCATGTAAAGAACCCTCAAATTTTGAAGAATGTTTTTCAAAATCTCAAAGTTTGGACTCGATCCATATGGACAGGGGTTTCTTCAATTTGGAAGATATCCCATGCATGGTTTAGGCGCCAGTAGTGTTCACAGACACCAGACGGACATACGAACGGATAGACAGACGGACGGACAGTTGGATAGATAGACGGACGGACAGTCGGACGTTTTGAAAGAAAAAAAAACACCACTATCTCGGGACCCTAAAACATGTATGTCCTTTGAAATCTCCAATTAGAGTTTTCGCAGAATTACATTACTTTCCCTATACTACGTATATTACTCCGTATATACGTACGTATACGGGAAAGTAAAAAGGAATGTATGCCCAAAAACTTGTTGGAACCAAAAGTCGGGACCGTAGAGGACCAAAGAAGAATCAAACTGAAGAAAGTACGTAACAAAAGATAATGCATATAATATTAGACAATCAAAGAAAAATTGAAAAATTTTTAGAAAGCCTAGATAAGTGGGTTAAAGGACTCACAAACCAAGTAAAAAATGGCAGATAGTATTAGGATTTCAGGTTGTAATGCTAATGGTCTTAAATAGCATATATATTTGTCACCATCCCGACACCTTGTTGGACGCAATTACGCTCGGAGAATATATTCCGCAAACACAAAGGAATCCAAATTGTGACCAGGTTACGGAGTAACAATGCATTTTAATAATTACATTTGTTCAAAGAATTGGGTGCCCCGACCGGGACTTGAACCCGGACCTTCCGGCTGGCTAGGTGCATACCAGATGGCCAGCGTTCGAGTCCCGGGCGGGGCAGTTCTTTGAAAAAAATTAATTATTGACTTAAATTACGTGTAAATAAGCTAGAAATATTTTGAAATATGCAAAAAACTTGTGACATGCTTCTGAAACTCATTTTGAAGATTAATTTCATTTTAAAATTATAGGATATAAATGCTATCATACGAATCATCCGAAATATACTGGAACAAGTGGTGCTGCAATATTTATTAAAGATACTGCTAACTATGACGAAGAACCAAGATTCCAAACAAAGTGCATGCAGGCAGCAACAATAAAAATTTTTTCAAAAGAGCATAAATATGCCGTTTCTGCAATCTATAGTCCACCGAGACATGATATTAAAAAGAACACTGCATGGAATTCTTTAAAATTTAGGTAACTACTTAATTGTGGGAAGCGATTGCAATACGAAACATAATTTTAATGGTTTAAGATTAACTAACACTAAAGGCCAAGAACTTTATAAAGCTGGTAGTGATTTGAAATGTACTTTTCTTTCTCGTTGTGGCTATAGATATTGGTCCGGATAAACTTCCAGATCTGATTGACATTTTTGTAATGAAAGGCATATCTTCAAACTAAATTAATGTGGAGAATTGTTACGATTTGTCTTCAGGTCGTAACCCTTAATACTAACACTAAGTAAAACTATAATTAAGAAAACCCTTCTACCAACTCTTGGTAACAAATTTACAAACTGGCTAGCGTTCAAAGAAGATCTAGTTGAAACAAAACTTAATGTTCCATTGAAAACGAAAGAGGAATTGGAAAATGAAGTGAAGTACTTTATAGAACAGGTTCAAGATAAAGTAAAGGAATATACCCCAAATATTGAGGATCCTCTCATGGATAATAATTATCCATAGGAAATGAAAGAAAAGTTACAGAAAGGAGCAAGGCACAAAAGTATGGCAAATGACACAATATCCTTCTAATAAAAATGTTTTGAATAATCTTACTCAATAATTAAAAGCAGCAATAAGGATATATATATATATATACATATATATACATACATACATATACATACATACATACATACATACAAGATTCTATCAGAAGTAACTTAGAACAACTTACTGTTGATAAAATATCGGACTATTCCTTATGGAAAGCCATAAGAAAAATGAAGAGACCTATTGTACAGTCACCACTACTGCACAAATCCGACTTCACATGGGGGAGAACAAAAGAGGAAAAGCAAATATGTTTGCTGATGGCCTAGAAAATACATTTCATCCTTTTTCCCTTCAAATAGCAGATGAAGATGTCACCACAGTTGATAGTGATGTACAATGTGAAATAAAATATGGTACTCCAAAAGAAGTCCAGAAGGAAATAGACATTAACGTTAATTCCACAAAAGGACCTGTGTATGATCTGATCATTGGAAAAATATTAAAAGAACTACTGAGAAAAGGAGTAATAAAACTTACATATTTCGTGCTTCGTTTCGATTGAAATATGTGCCGAAGCAATTTAAACTAGCCGAGATTATCATGATCCTTAAACACGGAAAACCACTTGACGAAGTAGTCTCTTACATGCCCTTCTCTTTGCTTCCAGTGCTTTCTAAGCTTCTCGAAAAACTATTTTTAAAGCGACTCAAAATAATTATAGAAGAAAGAAGACTAATCCCCTCTCACCAATTTGGGTTTCGAAGAAAGCATTCAACTGTCGATCAAGTATACCGTATTTCAAATGTCATTGAAAAATATTTAGAAAAAAATAAGATATGCTTAGCTATATTTTTAGACATTGCGCAGGCTTTTGATAAAGTTTGGCATCGTGATCTCGAATTAAAAATAGTAATTACTACCAAAATCATTTAGTTTACTCCTTCAGTCGTACATATCTGATAGATATTTTAGAGTTAAGCAAGAAAATACCTATACCACATTTCTTGAAATTAAAGCAGGCGTCCCTGAAGGAAGCGTTCTGGGACCCATCCTCTACTTGCTATATACAAACGATATACCCAATTACAGAACAACAACATTAGCAACGTTTGCAGATGACACGCTTTGTTATCTTTGTACACTTTGTTATCCATTGGAAGAAATATAGAAGAGACAACAAATAAATTACAGATTGCAGACTAGGCTCAAAAAATGGCACATAAAACACAATGAGACCAAATCAAATCACGTAATTTTTACCAATCGTAAAAATGAGGCACTCCTAATAAGATTCATTGGCAAAGTCGTTCCAATACCAAATACAGCCGAAAGCCGAACTCAATTTGAAAATCAATAAAATGTACTGGTTATTGGGAAGATAATCTCAGTTGTCCGTTTATAATAAATTACTAATATACCAACAAGTGCTAAAACCAATATGGACGTATGATATACAGCTTTGGGGGTTGTACCAGGAACGTTCATGTGCAGAAAATACAGAAAATTTAGAATAAGATACGAACTGCACAATGCAGTGGATTCACCTATTTAAGCGAATGGACCGACTACATCATGACTTGATCATAAAGACTGTAGAAGAACTAATTAAAGAGTATGCAGTAAAACAGCAGCGACGTCTACTGAGTCACAAAAACATTGAGTCATCAAAACTCCTCGATTCTACTGAAAAAATAAGATTAGAAAGAAAGAAACCTACTGACCTTCTGTAGTGTGATTTATTTCTTGAAATGAACGTTAGTGATCTCTGACGATGAGCAAGTCTGATAGTATGTATTTTGTTAAATCTTACACTAGTTACTGTATTGTAGTTGTGTTAATAAATAATTTATTTTAAAAAAATCCAGATTCTCTTGCCCTAACAGTGCGCTGACTTGTTGGCTCAGAGCGAAAGCGCTCGCCTTTCTGGAAATCCGCGTTCGATTCCCGTACAATCTCGTGTGAAGTTTGTTTCACCAAAACGAGTTTAGCTGCTTCACAAGAACTAGTCCAACCCCTGTGACGTGTCCTAAATCCTACCCATGTTCTAATTCCCTCCCAATTCCCGCTGGGTACTGACGCAGGTGCACGTAGTAGGAGGCGCATACGCGGAGATGCTCCTTGGCAGTTCTCTTGACATATGACTGCGACGAGACGTGAATTAAATGACAGATGATGTTAATGGAGGATTACTCATTTAATTAGCGCGATTATTACTGGAGGATTACTTTCAAGCGCAAAGCACTCGACGTCCCTGGGGCTTGGAGTCGCGTTGCGTCAATTCAGACGCAGCAAAATAAATAAATTGTAAGTAAAATAGATTCAATTCTATTCAAAACACACAGTACCTTTCTTTGTATAATTTTCAGCTCTTAGACTGTACATGAGATTTTGAGATTTTTGAGAACGCCACGGTTCAACAATCAATGTAGCCATCGGCAATTGTCCCGACGGTACAGACTGCTGTTGGCTGGGTGGTGAAACTAAACATTGTTCCGACAGAAATGCGAAGACGTTTCTCATCGTAAGACTCAATGCTCGAGCTGCAAATTATTCTTATGGAATAATTTCATACCAGAAAACAAACACGGGAAGTCATGGAGGAAGACGGTTCATAGCGATCGCCACGCTATAAACTATTGTTTTATTCCGCGCCTTGCTGTGCGCAATATTTGAGTACTGTTACCAAAATAGCGTTCACGTGGTAGTGAACGTTATTTTCTTTCACTTCATAGAGCCTGTAACTTGGGTTCACACAAACATTGTTGAATTGTGTGCTACTTCTTCAATGAATTCGCATAAATCCGTAATATTTCGTTTACTTCATTCATTTCCATGCCTACGAACTTTGTCACTCTTTGGTTGATAACACAGGTAATTATTGGAAGGGGTGTTTTAGAACAAGTGAACACACTCTGGTCATAACCAGATGATTGGTAGATTCCCTCCTCCCTCCAAAAGAAATCACTGTCCCAAAATAAAATGGTTAACATATTTTGGTTTACTGGAAGTCACCAATGATAGATTGTGTTCAGATTATCGCTATTTTTTATCAGTGCCATTAGATAATTTTTTATTTGCCTTTTTAGAGAAAGTTCAAATTATTTTTCAATGTTACACGGTAATCTATTTTAAGGATTTTAACAACTATTCATTGCATGCATCCTAACAATACTATATCACAGTATGCTGTGACTATATTATGTAATTGATCATGACGTAGAACTCGTTTGAAGGTAGGCCTATTCCTAGAATTTGGCGTCAAATGTTGACACTACAAAACAATAAAAGCCCTATGAGCCAGTTTGAACCAAATTTTGAAATACTGGCTATATTTCGGCGCTGTGAGTAGATCGTTAGCATTTCTTGTATTTTTAACATTCAATAATTCAATTATTTTGGGTAGATGTGGCGTAATACGAAATCGAATTCTTTGGCTGAGGAAAATAGTGTGCATAAAGTTTACAACAATACAATACATATTCAGGCATATCTAATTTGGCATTACATTAAAAATTGTCAATGTTCTCTTTTTGTGTGACGAAATAGTATTTTCGGACTACGCACATTGTTTTCGCACGAGACGTAAACAAATGCTGTTGCATACTGAGATCTATGTTCATCGCATGCGAGAATCGCATCGACTATCGAGTGGGACACTCGTGGTACATCGCTGATACATCGTGTAAACTCGACCAAATGTCAAGAGATTGTCAGCTGATTCAGATAGGAAGGATTCAGAATGAGAGGTTAGGAATGTTTATGACAAGAAAAAATTAAATGTATCAGTACTGATAAAATTCACATGCATCTTCATAATTAAATTTTCTATTTTGCTAATCATATTATAAATGTGACGTCGATATCTGATTTATTAGAAGATTGTGTGAAATGTCAAAGTTTGCTGTGACATTTACTAGTTCTTGTACTGAATTGGGTTTGTGGTATCTTGTGGAAAGTTGCAAATCTTTCAAAGATAAATTAGTAGAATGGGAGCCAGATTTTACTGTGTTTGGAAGTCGCTTGTGGAGGTAAGATATTTAATGTTCTCTCCATTATACTTCTCCATAATGTTTACTAATAAGGTTTGCTCTCGAAATGTTAGTGTAGTATCAGTTTTTTCGTCCTTTTTATACTTAAATATTAATTCGTCATTAAGGAGCTCTCCGGTTGTCAAATATCAATGGCAAGAATTATGGTTGGAAATGACAACTGTTGCCCATGTATATCGCATTTTGAAAACAAAGCCAGAGAAAATAGCAGATATGAATACTCAGAAACAAGTTGCAGAGTTCCAGTGGCTTCTTCAGTTTATTTCAAAGAAACATCCAGATTTAGCAGAGGTGAGTGATGTGCATTGCTGACTTCATTGCTGGAATTGACACACAATAGTGGAAATTTAAAAGATCTGCATTTCAGGAATTATGGCAACTCTTTGTTTGGAGAGTTTGTGCTGGGCAGCAAACAATCTGCCTTTTGACTGAAAAGTTATTAGAAGTTCTTTCTGATTTTTTGTGTCATGATGCAGTATGTGCACATTCTTTAATTTCATATATTATTCCTAAATCATCTCAGCCAAATGCAACCAGTGATCAGTTAATGGATTTATACATTGGAGTTCTGAAAGAATGCAGCTGTACAGCTGCATTGTTTCACAGTAAATCTACAGAAATCGGTAAGAGAATTTTTTATATTTTTTATGTAATTCTGTCATATGCAATTCACTATATTGTGATAATGATCAGGGTTGGCTAAATTTTCCCCAGCATTATGTATGTGTGTATTCTAACACTAACAGTCTTAGGGGACTTAGGGCCCTGTCACAGCATCCTCGTCTGATGATCATGTGCTCAGGGGACATGTGGTAGGCTGGTCTCCTGACATCTTACATCATCTGTTTGTCATGTACTACCTGCAAGAAGGTTTCCCCTGCTCAAATAGCTATATGAACTGGGACAAGATGGTGAAAAATGACAATTTAATTTTTACCCCCTTTGGGATTCGAACCCAGGTCATGGCATGGAAAGCTTGTCATGAACCGTCAGGGACCTTTGTGTATATACTTATATTCAGACGCATGTATGTATGCACTTACACACACATACACATATATACATACGTTATGTATAGGCATAGGGTGCACAGTATAAAACAAGATGGGGTCTACTATGTTTCAGCCCTCCTCCCCTTTCCATGAAACTTACTGCTAATGACATATTTTACCGGTAAATAAATTAAGTGTATTACTTGGCGAATGAAAATATAACTTAAATGATAGTACAATTGATAAATATAATTTTTTCCTGTTGAACCATGCCTGGAAAAACCTTCAGAAAACAATTTTCAAAATTGTCAGGTGAAAAGAGAGGGAAAACCAGAGATTCATTATATTTGTAGGAATAAGGAGTCATATTGAAAGTGACAGGATGTTGAAAATGTGATTTATTTTTATTAAATATTTTGCCTGTTAATTATTGTATTAATGTATTTCATTTTTATTTAGGCTCAAGGTACCAGCACATGGAATTAACACATGCAAAGAACATGTTTTTAAGCATATTGTCACTGATGTGTTTAGAAAATAATGAAGAAAAGCTTGGAAATTGGCTATATGAATATTTGCAATCAGCAGATAATCTCATTGTTTCACAGAAGTTGATGTATTTTAGTTTGATATCACAGACACATTTAGGACTATTACAATATATATTCAGATTAAAAGAAAGAAATCAGTTCATAAAATGGGGTGGTCAGTGTCTTGTTGTTCCTAAAGATTGGCTATCTGCAAATATTAAAGAAAATAGTTTATTTCATTCAACTGTGAAGAATCGGGTCCACTGTGCTGAAATTCTTTTGGTAAGCTCCTCATTGTTCTTTTTACGACAATTTGCAGTATACACAGCATGTTTTAAAAAAATTCATCTCTTTGTGACAATTAAATGCTAGAAAGTACATGAAGGTATGATTGTTTTGTGAGGACAGAAAGGCATAATTGATTTTAATAGTTTGGAGGTGAGGATGGAGTATTGGAGGAGAAATGCAATCTGGAGGAGTTCGAAATTATCGCAAAATTGATAGATACAGACTGAAGGTGTAGATTTCTATATAAAAAAACCTTATCACAAGTTTGTGTTCATAAAATTGTGAGACAATTGATTCATGCATTTGACTGAGAAAGATATTTTATAGTGTAAAATATCAAGATGCTCCTTTGTGTTGCAATTACTAAAATAATTCTGAAGATGTTTCGAACTGTAAGCTCGAAAAATCAGTTAATATACATTTTCTCTGTCTTTTTTGGTTAATTATTAATAAAGGTTAATTTGAAGTATGTGGTGGGAATCTTAAAAATTCTTATTTGTTTGTTTTTAAAGGTGGTAAATAATTTTTAAACTTCATGTTCACACTGTTAACACCAGATCTGTATATTGCACTGGCATTATCATATTGATGAAGACCTTGGAGCAAAGTTATATCCTTGTCACTTCCCTATAAATTGTAACTGAGAGATCTACTGAATAGCACTAATGTTTAATGTACATTTCATTAGAAGTTTGTGAATGTTTTGGCTAGAAATTAGAATTTGTGCTGTCCTTTGAAAATAAATATTGTTTAGTGTGCAAAGGGATGAAGACAGGTGTTGTTATTGTAGGTAGATATTGAAATTGAAGGTGGTGTGAAATATGGAAATAATTGAACTTATTTCAGGAGTCGTTGTTGATATCTGAATTCAGTTGAAATTTTGGAAAATAAAAATATTGAAATGCAAAACAAAAACTTGATGTTGTTCTAAATCTATTTGCTAATAAATTACTTTAAACAATTTGAAAATAGTTATTTGCATTTAAGTTACTTGTTAATGTTGATGAATTGTTGTGGATCATCATCATCATCATCATCATCATCATCATCATTGTTATTTTGTATTTCCTGCTTTGCCATGCTCATGAATTGTGCTCTGGTGTAGGAAGTGGCTCTCAGTCTACTGGCTCAAGAGGAAGATCAGGAGGTTCAAGTGTTAAGTGGGTGGCCTCATGCTCTGAAATTGCTATTGCCCTTGCTATTGCCTCAATTGTGGACACGGGCCACTGCAGGTGTTCAGTTGACACATTGGCTACAGCTGCTTGGATGCATTTGTAAGGTATGTTTCTCTAAGCCATACATATATTATCATATAACACATCTGTTGATGTAAAAGTGACACATCCAAGAAGAGGACCATTCACAACAGTCAGTTTTACATCCAGTAGAATAATGATCTCGGTAAATAGTAAATCAGCATGTATGCTCTCTAATGATAAAAACTAAAGTATTGTCATTTTTGACTTGTGACTCTTCTGTCAATGGAGTTGCATATTTGCATAACATGTTTGTACTTTTATGTTGATACTGTTCAGTTACTTTATCAGTGAAGTTCTTGGTGATTACACATGTTCTAGGTAATGTGTGAAAGTTATAATAATTAGGTATTATAAACTTAACATCTATCATTTTCTTACGTTAAGTCACTTTTGATAATATTTATTTCAGTAATTAATGTTTAAACATAGTGGGGACTTTTATATTGACATCTGTGAAATGAGGGAAACCCAGTTCTGAAAGTGAATTTCATTATAGCCACTTTCCTCTGGGATATCTGAATTCTATTAGGATGTGGATATTTTGCAGTTACTTTGAGGCTTATTAGTTACAGTTTTTATAATTTAAATTTTACCATGAAATCTGTCCAAATGTATCTATGAAAATTAGTTCTTCTCGTGGATTTTTGGATAGATATATGGATATTTATGCTCCGTGTAACATTACTCACAATGAATAATTTTGTTTCTTGCCATATTATGTGAATGTCACAAAAGATATGGTTCTTTAAGGTTTAAAAATAATCATACATTTTAGGGGTCTTGGGTCTTATTCAGATTGCAATTCTGCTGAGCATATAGAATACATTTTCAACAAGTTTTATCTTCATTATTTTATTTTATTTTTTTAACTTTGATACTTGGTTATTTCTATTGTGCAATGACATATGTCCGGTACAATACTTCCGGTGTACAATGACTTCTTACAGTGTCAGAACTTAAATTATTTCAATATTCAAAAGAATTTTTAGGTCTTGTAAAAACAGGGAATGGTAACAATATAGATAATTTATTTTATGTTAAAAATTTGCTGTGTTTGGTGTCAGTGTTGTACTGGGTGAAACTTGTAACTTGGAATAAGTCATATCAGAATGTTGGTACCAGAAGTGGAAATTTGTTTGGTGTATAATTAAATTTTGAAATATCTAAAAGAATCATGAATCCTGTACTCTGATGACAATGGAACATCATACAATCGGTACATAAGTTCTACGACTGTTAACCCTCCAATTGTACACTAGGAGCTCTGTGATTCTGCGCTACAAAATATATTCCTGTGCATATGTAAATGACAATAGAGGGCATTAATTTCTATAAGGAAGTTCAGTTTGCTATCTGATGTGTTAACAGGCTCATCAATATGTAGCTTGAAACAAATCAACTGTGATTAATTGAATATTCTTTTCATATCAGAATTTTGTTCTGGAAACAATTGTTGGAAATTCGGCTATAGTATATATTAAACAATGTTTTTGATGATTCTGTTATTTTCAGTTGTTACAGTTAGTTTCAATTGTATTAATATTTATTTAATGCAAATAAACTCATAATAATATAAAGTAATATTCATTCATACTAAGAAAAACAGACTAATAACAAAGTCTCTTGGACCTTAAAACGCAAACCAAGTATCAAAAATGTAGGTGTACGTACCTAACTGAGGGTTACAAATAAGAAGATTAATCTCAATACTGCAACTTGGGTTGTTACTATTAAATCCATAAGTGGGTGATGTCAAAGAGACTACTTAGTATGGCCTGAAATAATTCTATGATTTTCATAGGTGTTTACTTGATATCAGTACAGTATAAATGGATTACCTTGTGGACTAGAAATATTCAATCGCTGAAATTGTTATTGCTTCTAATTTTTGAATGTCAATCAAATTAGTTTTTGTGAACCCTGATAAAATTGGCCTCGTAAATTTTGGAAGTCCATAGTAAGATTTTTTTCATGCTAAGATAACCTGTATTATATATTATTATAACCTATCCTCCTGTTGAGATTTATGCAAGGAGCCTTTATCAATTGACATTCTTATCAAAACTTTTTAAAATGTATAAGTGAGTTTCAATCATAATTTAATTTCATTAAAACATATTTCAAATTGAAGATGTTATAAATCTTTTTTGGTGTTTAAGAATTCATTCCTCTCAAAATCATCAATGTGTCTGCTTTCAAAGGATGTTGGTCTTTTAAAAAGAAATATGGCATTGAATTTTTGCTTTATTATTGACAAACCTCAGAAATTAAAGATTCTGCTTTGACAAATTGTTCTAAAACTGTTTGAAAAAAAATATTGTTGTACTGATACTCTAATTTGTCTTCAAACTTTGATGTTATAAGTTATATAAAAATTCAATATGGTTGCAAAGAATCCTGGAAGCTTTACCTAGAAAAGTTTGAGAATCTTGCGCATTATTTGTAATAACTACCTTATCTTTGGTTATTCAAAACTGAAGTAGTGAAGGACAATTGCCCAATAATATCAGCAATGAGAGCTGAGTAAAGACCTGTCAGTTCACTTTGTTGGCAAAATAATTTTTACAGCTGAGTTGATATAGAAGTCAATAAACAGTGAATAACTACAATTCACATAATGATAATTTATGTTGCTAGAAAAAATAATAAAACCGAACGATTAAAATTATGAAACGGAAGGTAACTGCTTGATAGGTAAAATATTTTTAGTGCTTGTGGCAACAAGTAGGTATCAAATGATATTTTTAAGATTAGTGTCACACACAAAGACAAGAAAATTGACAATCTTCGAAAGCATATTTGAGAGAGACTTTCTGCACAGTGATTGTGTAAGTAAATTGTACAGTACTTGTATGTTGGAAAACATTATTTTTACATTATTATACTCAATTTGTGGAAATGTATTTCATATGTAAATTATTCTACCTGGTATCTTTACAAATTTTAGGCTACGTGTAATTGTGTAATTTTGGACAACATGTAATTAATTTCAAATTCAGATTTATATTATCGTTTATTGTTTTGTGAATATTCAAAGTATACAGTTTAAGCAGATATTAATGTCCAAAAATTGCGGTTGCTGTGCATCTTCTGCATTTTTATTCCAGGGCGTTTGGATTTGTGATTAGGTTCGTATAATTGTCAATGTTCTTCTTAAATTTTGTAATTTAAACATATAGTGTGAGATGTTTCATCTTTTAAAGTGAGGGAGGAGCAAAATAGGTAATTTAGTTCTGAGGACCACAGATGAGGAAGTACATTTTTTTAAATTAGTGAAAGGTAACTTGTTAATAAAAATGACACATGTCTCTTTGCAATTGAGTGTCAGATTTTGATGGTATATTATAGATCTTGAATATCATCACTGTTCTAAAAAATATTGCAAGAAAAATTTGGCTCATCAATTTGTGGATAGACAATGTTTTTCTCAATTATAATATTTTTAATAGCCAGCATTTAAAATTTTGTAAAATCATTATGTAAAAGGAATTCATTTGACTAATCATGAGTTATTAACACTACTTGATTTTATATGAACTTGCAGTAATGAGGATTCTAAGAATTATGTAATGCATTTTATGTTCAGAAGAAAAAGAAAAAGAGGAAAAAAAAGAGAGAAAGAGACCAAAAAATGTTATGCATATCTACAAGTAAAATAATATTATTGTGTCCATACATGTTATTACACATAGAATATTAACTGATGTAAATAGTGTTTTCATTGTACAAATTTTATATTTCAATTTTTTGTTTTGAAAATAGATCAACTGATATAATTCTAAAATTAATTTATTTCTAATATTAATGTAGGGCCTACAACCATTTTCAGTGCATTTCAATTCAATAAAAATAGGAAGAAAAATGAGCATCACAGTCCCTACTTCATTGCTACAACTGCATTTTATCCTTCCAAAATGGATATGCAGAGCTTGGATGATCACTAGTACTAAAAGAGGGAGGAGAAAGGTCACTGCTTTAAGAATAGTGGGGGACCTTGAATGTGATGTTTGAGTGACCTAAATTGTATATTGAGAGGGCAGATGAAAGACTTCCTATTATTTGGAATCGGATGTGGAAAAATTTGAAAATTGTAGGAAGGGGAAACAACACACCACAAATTTTGAGATATAATGTAATGAGACTAATATTACTTTAAAGAGGAAAGGGCACAAGTAGTAAAGGATGGCTTAGTCATGAGTTTTAGGAACACTGGTCTTGAGAAACTGACAAGTCAATAGTAGAAGGTAAGAGAAATATAAATATTCCCCTGAATTATATGTACTCGTAGATTTTGATATTAGAAGTAATTCAGAGCGTGTGAGGGAGAGAGAGTGGGGAATAACCACCAGATGGAAAAAATTACTATTAAAACTCTAGAAGCAAGGAAGAAAAGTATATAAACCTAAGGAAAAGGAAATAAACCTAAATGAACAATATAGAAGATATGATATGAAGGATAATGTGATACATGATGAAATAGAGGAGATGCAAAAAAAATCATAATTGGATAGTTACACTCATTAATAATTTGAATAAACACATAAATGTTGTGTTGTTTAAATTATGTAAGTCTGTATTATTTTAAGGAAACTAATTTTCATGAAATCTTGTTTATCTTTAGATTCATATTTGTGGATTATATTTCAAATATCGTTTCTATAAATTTTGTTTTTCATAAATTTGTGTTCGCATTTCATTACTTTCTAAAGGATTCTTTTCATATGCTGGTTCAGGGTATAGACTGTGATCCAGTATTACGTCACTTGGGAAACATTTTGGAGCAGCAAGTGCAATTGCTAGAATGGTGCTCAGCACACACTCACAACTGCTCAATGAGTGGTGGAGAAATTCTACACATTTCTGCAAGCTCTAGTACCTTGAAAACATTGTGGTTGGCAACAGATTTGTCAGTGGCAAATTGGTCGGAAATTAAACAACTATTACATGGCCGTCAACAGCAAGTGTGCAAATGGGGTACGTTCATATTTGATTTATATTTATTTGTTCTATCCGTAACTTGTATTGTTATGAGGTCAAAAAGTTGCACGATTTGCTTTTTCGTCCTCACAAATGTAAGAAGAGAAAGTATTGTAATCGTGTATCCAAAAACGATGAATTTTCAACAAAAAAACTCTTGTTGGGCCCTGGTAAGGAAAAAAAAAAAGAAGGATAAAACCTAATCCTATGTTTAGTAAATTACTTCCTCTAAAACGTGGTATAGCTACTGGCGGATGGATCAGAGGCGGAGTAGGCATGGGGGCCATGACCCCCCGAAGAGGCCTAGAGTTTTCGTTTACCTGCCTTTATTTGGATTTAAATATTTATTTATTTTCGAATTATGTAATTATTTAAACAATATTATATAGTATCATATCTACAGTACATGAACAATATAAAATAAATAACAAATATGTTTATTATTTAACAAAAAACTACGAACACCCCATGATCTACTGGATCCGCCCCTGGGTGGCCAGAATCCACACTTTGTGCGTCCTTGATATCGATAAATCGATTTACGGTAGAATGTCCGTCTGTGGTCAATGCTAGTGCGTTAACCGTTCAGCCGATTTTCTCCAAAATTGGTATTCTATGATTGATCTCAATGAGTCTAGGAGTTTCAAAGGGATGTTTGATTTTTGAGCTACTTAAGAAAGGTTAACATTTCAAAATTACATAATTGAAGATAAGAGATTTTTTCATTTGACAAAGTCTTTTCCAAAAAACCACCTTTTTGGAAAGGTCATGTACAATTTTTTGAGAGAACCAGTAAATTTCGCGTAATTTATGTCCGAAATTTGAATGAATTTGCTTAAACAAATTCTCGAAAACTTTACAAATTTTTTCTTCCAACTTTTTCCATGGAAAAAAGGGATTCCTAAAAGAATACCAAATGTTTCATTTTCATGTAACTGAATATTGAAAAATTGCAGATTTGGAAATAATGCGAGAAAGTATTTGCATCACTTAGTCCTTATGGCAAAATATTTCTGTGGAATGGATACTCAGACAGTCAAGTCCTTCCAACAAAATTGGCAATGAATTTCAAAAGCAGACACCCATAATATGTCGCCATCTAAACTTCCCTTCTTTGTAGTACCTTTTTTAAATGACATTGTTTGTTAGTTTTTTCCTTAAATATTTGAACTCTGATCTAGTGAACCTTCTTGCAGGAGAACAGCAATCTGACATATCAACACCAGGGTGCTCGTGGGATGTAACCCTTTTTGATGGTTTTTGTATTCTAATAAGTTGTTTTGAAGCTATCCATTTAGCAATGATTCTTGAAAAAAATGGTAAGTTGTGTATGAGCAATTCTTATTAGCAACCCAGTCTTACACATATTTTGGTAAGGAAATTGGTTTCCCAGTTATACTATAGTGTAGACTGTTAAATCTATTTTTTTACATATGCAGGTTGTTTGGAAAATCAAATGTTTAAGTACAACTCTACTGAAACAAATGAAAAAGACATAAAGGAAACGGCAGATACTAGTACTCATAATCCATATGCTGAAATTCTTTCAAAGTTGCAGAATGTGCAGGATGCTGTATGCTCCCTTTTTCCACTGGACTTTAGGTAGGTTTAAAAAGTATATCTCCTTTCTCTCTTTAATTTGTAACTTCTTTCCTTCTTCTGTCTCCAGCTGGAGCCTAATTTATTTGATTGCCAATGGAGCAGGGTGTGGTCAATTCTGATAGTGTGCAGCTTGGGTCTCTCATTTGACTCTTGATTAAGCATGAGTTTTCTAATGCTTCTGATTCTTTCTGATGAGAGAGCGCCTCCACTCTTTATAAGACTTTATAGGGCGTGCGCTGAATGATTCTTATCAAATTGTTTTACCAGAATGCAACATTTTTTCAGGGATTGGATACATGCTGGAGCTTCCATGTTTCATTTCTGAGCCCAATACAATTTTTTTTATAATCAGTGTACTGTTGCTCTCATAATTCCAAAAGGAAGCCTTTTATTCCTTGAATGTACGCATTCTTCTGTGGTTTGTTGAGGATTAAAACATATTATCAGTAACACTAAATCTAACATGTTCCAAATTATTTGGACAATCTTACACTAGTGTTTTCTAGAAAAAATCTAGTGTCAAATCAATTGCTCTTAGGAACAAAATAATGAATTGTTTTTTGTATTACTAAACTTATTAAAATGGACCTGACATCTTTCAATATGTGTTGCTACATCCATTCTTGCACAGTTGTGAAATGTTTATTGCTTTCAAATTTCTTTGGGGCAAGTGAATGTGACTCCTTTTTGGGGAGATCAGCATTATGCTGAATCCAATTTTTATCCTCCAGGGTTTTTAGTCCTGGGGGATGGAAGATGTAATAATGAAGGATGAATTGACGACACACACATACAGACATACACAAACACTCATGCCTATTATTGTTTTGTATTTGTTGTTACTTTCATTATCATTATTATTATTATTATTATTATTATTATTATTATTATTATTATTATTATTATTATTATTAATCTGTTATATTAATATTATAACGCACTTGGTGTGTAAATAACTAGAGTTAAACTATTATTAGTGTGACGCGATTGTGAAAAATTCCGTTCGGTCGAAGAGCCCTCGGTGTCGCCCTTCAAAAGGCATGCTTCCAGACTTGGTGAATAGTCGGTTTGTGTTGGCTCGCACGAAGTACTCTCAAACGAAGTGTTAGTGTATGACATACGTAAAATTGTCAAACCGTTATTTGCATCGTATCCTGGAGTCTTTTTTCCAAATGTTGACAAATCATCATAATTACGGTCATTTTCAACAGGACTCCGCTACCGCACACACTACAGCAGTTTCCATGAGAGTTTACATGCCGTTTGTTGAGACAGAATAATCACACGTGGTTTGTGATATGCATGCTCTCGTGATTTGACTCCGTGCGATTTCTTTCTTTGGGTATTCCTGAAAGATTGCATGTACGCAACCAATCCCCACACGTGAGAATTACGGTTCAATAGACAGGAAAGATCTTTGCAATACCACAGAACATTCTTTACCGAGAGAAGAACTTGTGTAGATGTCAAGAATGTAATAGAGCCAGTGGTGACTAGTTCCAGCGTATACCATAACATGAGTACAATTTAAACTTTCCGGTAGCGGATAGTCACCTTCCCTCTTCGGCATAGTTATCTCTAACCGGAGGCTGCGTAGTTGCCTTTCAATACATGCGCGCATTGGAAATTAGTGGTACAGAGATATTTTTTGTACGATTTTCCCGGGTTCCCGAGTTTCTAAGGAACCTCTCAAATCGCCGCAGCGTCTGTTTTCTTTCAATTTCTGCGTGGATTATTATAGTTATATTTATTATATCAGTATTATAGAGGTTTTCATGGTTTTCCAAGCCTGTAATTAATTGGGAAGCAAATTAATTAGCTAATATTTTCTACAGACAAACACGAAAGGCACTTTAACTTATCCGTTCCTATGGAGTCATGAACGATTTTGAAAATTTATTGCGGCGTTTTTTTTGGAACTAGCAACAGATTTATTTTCTCATTTCTTGATGAGCACGTTATGATTTTAAATCATGTATGTACAGAGCATTCTTTCTCGTATCAATAATAGCCATCGTCTTCGTAGAAATATGCTTACGTAACAGCTGACGCATTGTCTGAACGATTACGCCCATTAAGTAATCTAAAATATAGATTTAATATACAAAGTACATTGAAACCTGTATTAAGCGACCACTGTTGGTTCCGTAAAAAAGTGGTATTTTAGAGGAGTGTTCGCTTATAAGGGGAATATTTTTTAATACAAACTAGTGGTGCTTTGCATAATTCTTGCACTTTGCATAATTAAAAACGAGTGGTGTTACAACAGCATGTACTTTCTGCTACTTAGAAACTGTTACATAATATTATAATACTGACATTTCTGTCCGTAGTAACACATCTGTCATCACTTGTAAAACTCGTAATAAATCGTAGAACATTAAGTGCGATAAACTAATTTTTTCAAAACTAATATCATCACAAATTCGACAATTGAAACTGCATTTCATACAGGATTAAACATCCTCAACAATGAGAATTCTCAAGAATTTCAAATTGCCGAATTGCGGCAAATTTCAAAGATTTACAAAAGTTATGCTAAATTACTCATTTATAAAAATGTACCCGATCTTTTTTAAAAAACTAATATTTCACAAAAAAATCACCATTTCAAAATTTTACTTTTGTAATGTTAATTTTTGCAACTTTCGAAAATATAGAGCTCGCCGAAAATGGGACCAACACCATTTTCTTTACCGTTCTTTGCTACATAGGACAGAAAATGAATGAAAAAAGTTGGAGCGGTTTTTGAAAAAAGAATTGTTTACAAATTGTCCATATTTCACGCAAAAACTATTTTCGAAAAATTGATCATGACGTTATTTGTACGTTTGTTTTAGATGAACGATTTTATTAAGGAAAAAAGGGTAATTATTGTAGTTCTAGGAAGATGACAAGAATTTGAACTTTTGCAATTTTGGATAATTTAGGGAGTTCAACGAAAATGCGACCTACTTCATTTCTTTGAGTGTCTTTTGCTCTATCATACGAAAAAAAAAAAATATTTGGAGACATTTTCGAGAAAACTTTGAAAATGTTGAGCCTTCATGCACTTTTACTATTTATACTGCAAATTGTACTATTTATTATTTCTTTTTTGCAAGGAACATTCGTGTCATCGGCAAACAGAACCTTTCTTCCGTTTTTAATAGACGACGGCATATCGTTTACGTATAACAGAAGGAGAATAGGACCTAAGATCGAGACTTGCAGGACCCCATATTCAATTGGTAAAGAATTGGAAAGATAAGTAAATGACGTCCATTTCGTGCCAGCAAGGTATTTCTACTCTTTGAGATCTATGTTTAAGGTACGAGGTTATCCAATCTAGGCCGATACCACGAATTCCATAAAAAGGTAATTTTAATAGCAAGATGTTATGGTTAATAACGTCAAAAGCTTTAGAAAATCTAAAAATATTCCAATGGGTGCTTCATTTTGGTCCATCGATGAAGCAACATCTTTAAGAAAAGAAAAAAAATGGTCCGTAGATTTTGATTTTCTACACCTGTGTTGTGAGTCTGGAAACGCGTCGTTTTTTTTCTGAGAAAAGTTTCCATTCGCGTATAGAAAAGCCTCTCTAATATTTTTGAGAAACCTGACAAAAGAGAAATTGGTCGGTAATTTGGAATTTCATTTTTGCTCCTTTTTTCAAAAAGTGCCGTAATTTTTGCTGTTTTGAAAATATCTGGAAATATGCCTGTGCATAAAGATACATTGAAAATGTTAATTAACGGGTGTATAAAGTCAGGTACACAAGTTTTCAATAAACAATCCGAAAATTCATCTAAACCAGATGGATATTTATTTATTAGTTTACTGACTATTCGTAAGATTTCGTTAGAAGTAGTTTCGGAAATAAACATCGTGTCGATAATTATTTGGGAAGGTAAAAATGTTGAATTTTGCGGTTATAGTCCCTTTGTGAGCAGTTCTTCTTCATCGGCAATTTAAGAAAAGTGTTGGTTGAAGAGATTTGCCACTTTTTCCGGATTACTGGCTTTTCTTTCATTATCCTTTAAAACAACATTCTCTACTAAGTAACGAGATGATGTGGTCGTATTTTTTACAATATTCCACATTGCTTTAGTTTTTTTACTAGCGTCCAAAATATTTTGATTATTTTCCATTATTTTTGCGTGAACTATTGCTTTCCTTAAGATTCTTTTGTATTCTCGGAAGTAGACATGGAAACTGGGTGATACGATATGATGATTAGAAATAAAGTAAAACGTATGTTTGTATTTATACGATGTGTGATCTTGATACCTTGTGTGATCCAAGTATTATTTTTCCATGAAATATTTAATTTTCTTTTTTTGAGAGGAAAGCATGCATTACAGTGATATGAAAGTTTTGAGAAAAATAGATTATATTTTTCATTTGTGTCAACAGCGTTATAAACTGTGTCCCATGATTCCTTCAGCAAGTAGTACGTAAATAATTTTATGTTAACTTTAGTGAATGCTCTCCACATGTGTGTATAATTTGTATCAGTGTTCATGTTATTAGTAATTGTAAGAATTTGTGCCTCATGGTCACTGTTACCTAGATTAGTAGTTTTTATTTCATATCTAGTTGTGGTTTTGTTAATTATAATTGTAGTATATGTATAGTATAGTATATAATTATAATTATTATAGCTCATACCCAGTATTTTTTTGTTGTGTTAGCGATAAATATTTTTTTAAAGAATATTTTCTCTGCAGGAAGATGTTTATGTGAGACATTGTTATATTGCGTTATCGAAGATGATGATGATGATGATGATGATGATGCTAATGAGGCAAATTTGGTAGGAAGACAGCTCTGTTTCTTGCAGTCGTGCCTTAACTGTCGAATAGATGAACTTTATTCTATACATATGTTGGATTGTCAGAGATAAGCAGGAATGTTTTTTCTTGAGAAATCAGATTTTGACAACTTTTGACTTCTAATTTAAAAGGCTTGTTTGTTTGCAGTATAAATTGAAGAAAATGCATTACAAGGCTAACGTCTATATATCTAATATGTTGCCTAGACTTGAACATTTAAGCTATTGCGCAGTGGGTCGGGACGGGATGAATGGCAGTTTTGTGTGGGTCATGTACACTAGCTCCTGTCGGGACGGATCGTACTTTAAAGAGTTTCCCTGCACGGCAGCATAATGTTAAGTATAGCAGCAATCGCTGTGTTGTAATTTTTAATAGAAGAAGAAAACTATGCAAGGAGTCGAAGTAAGCCCAGATTTCCTTCTCTTCTATACATAACGAGAATGACAAAAGGAGAATTTCACGTATTATATCCCTACCTGGTGAAAGATGAAAAAATGTGGCAATACTTCAGGATGTCTCACGATAAATTAGAGTTCAATGGGATATTTTAAAAATATACATAATTAAATATTTTAGTAACGTAAGTGAATACAATTATATTGCACAAGAGGAATAATCATAATTGCATTAATTTATTTGGATACTTGAGAAAATAATCGCCAAAGATGACAAAATAAGTTACGCATATAAGACAAAAATAATTCACATTGATTACTAAACTATTTATTCCAAAATATGGTATAATTAATTCATCATGCAGAAATGTATCATGTTTTACTAATATTACATGGCTTCTTTTCATATACGTCGAGTGCCGGGCGTCTGTGAAACAATCCAGGGTAAAATGTTGCATCGAATTTGTGACGCGCCTGCGAACTAATACAGTAGGCAGTCGTTGTGACGTTTAAGTTGTGAGGGTTGCTTCTAATGTGTGTGTTTCAAGACCGGAAGAAAATGTTGAACATATCTCTGACAATCCGTTTTTCGCGATTTACCCTTGCGTTTATTCAGTCAATTCCATTGGCGTCCCCGTAGTCCCGGCAATATGTCACGTATGTGATCTTTTATTTTTACGTCTCAAACAGCTCCCTCTATGGCGTTGCCTTCCGAAGCCGACGACAAAGCTTCTCCAGCTTTCTCATTAAACGAGCCGCCGTGTTTTGGTTATTTCTTCAGTTTGTGTCGACGCCGCCGTTTCTAAAGATATGCAATGCGCCAGCAGTCAATGCTTTGCAGATGCTGGTGATACAGTCGGCCCTTATTACTTTGTGTTTCCTGACACATTAGCTGTTGGGACCATGAGTATCATAAGTGTAGAGCTTTATTATCTCGTGATGTGGCAGTGCTCCCGCCCTCTGAAAAGTGAAATCCGACGCTGTCAGCTTGCAAGGTTTCTTCTTCCAGATGTCCCCGCGAGCGGAGCACCGCCTCAGCCGGTACTCTGTGCTCCTGACTGGTTATCTGACATGTGGTAGTATATACATGCACTCCTACACACACACACGCGCGCACCCCTACACACGCACGCACCCCTACACACACGCACGCACCCCTACACACACGCACGCACCCCTACACACAGAAGCGACACGAACCCCTAACACACGCCACCGAAACCCCTACAACACAGCGCACGAACCCCTACACGCACGCACGCACCCTACAAGGCACGCGACCCCCATCTACACGTCACGACCTACAACCACGAACCCCGCACGCACGCACCCCTAACCAGCGCACTACGCACGCACCACCTACACGCACGCACCGCACCCTAGCACGCACGCACGCACCCCTACACGCACGCGAGCACCCCCTACATCACGCACGCCCTATCGCGCACGCAGCAGCCCACTACGCACCTCCACGCACGCGCCCCTACGCAGCGACCGTGAGACCAATAACCCCGTCACACGCGGCCCAGCACACCACGCGCCCCCTACCGCCACCAACGCGCGCACCCCTACGCACACCAACGGCGCGCACCCCTACGCCACACACGCGGACTAGCACGCAGCACCGCCCTACACACACGCGCACGCAAGGCCCTACACATCAACGCACGCAAGCCTACACACTACGCACGCCACCAAACACACTACCGCACACCCACGCCACGACACCCTACACGCACGCACCCTACACGCGCACCTACGCAACACGCACGCACCCCTAAACACCCCTACCACGGGCACCACCCTACACACACACGCACCCTACCAGCACACGCACCCCTCCCACACGCACGCGAACGCCCTACACGCACGCACCCCTACACCGCTCGCACCGCCTCACGCAGCACCCCTACACCAGCACGCAGCGCACCCACGCTGACGCCCCTTACAACTGCACGACGCACCCTGACACAACACGCACCACCTACAGCCCCTCTTAACTGCACGACCTACACGCACGCACCCCTACACGCACAGCACCCCTACACGCACAGCCCCTGACACGACCACGCACCCGCCCTACACGCACGCCACCCCTACACGCCGCACCCCTGCACGCACACGCACCCCCCCTACGCACACGCATCCTTACACACACGCACACGCACCCCTGCACACACGCACCCCTGCACACACGCACCCCTGCACACACGCACATGCACACACCCCTACACACACAATATTTCTTTTCTTCTTTTGTAGCATCCTGTGATTCCTGTTATGACCATTCTCAGTCAACAGTGTCTCTTTGATAAGCTCTTGTCGTTCGCTAATATTCTATCTCATACTTTTATCCCATTTTCAAATTTTGTTTTCTATAAGCTTGTGCCTGTGTGCGTGCCTCTAAATGTGTGCATGAATTTATATGTATGCACAGTATTGTACATATGTTACCATTTATTTTTGAAACATTTATGTGATTGCAGAATTGAGGTCATGGAAGATCTATTCTCTTTACTATTTCTGAAACAAGACTGCAGAGAGGAGAACAGTGACTCGGATACTAGCTTGGAAGAGGGTGCAGTAGAAGAAGGATTACCGGATATTGAAACTGGATTAGAGAGCTCCATTGCCAGCTCTGTAACTAGTTTTATTAATGTGTCAGAACCATCAGATAGCAAAATTAAAAATACAAAAGCTTTTGAAACTTCTACATTGGATGAATATGAATTGCTTTCATCAGGAAATATGGAAGATGATCCATCTGCATTCTCTTCCACACAAGTAAAGTCTGAACAGTATTCTCAAGAAGATGTGGGTGAAACTAGCCATGAAACAGCATCAAAAGTATTATGTGAAAACGAAGATGATATTAAAAATGATTCATTTATTGACAGTAGTGTGAAGATTTCCCAGTGTAGTAGAATGCATTTGCCTCGATTACAGAGAGAAGGCCAAATTGAAGATTTACACACAGCACTTTCTCCTCCATCTGCCAAAGGAAGTGGTTCCCCTGACAAGTACTTGTTACATACTGCATTAGGAGCAGGAATGTTCCGAGCTCGGGGGAAGCAGCTATTTGTGTGCAGTCAAAAGCTTGTGAACACATTGTTGAATGTTCTGTCAGAGTGCTTGGTGAACACCAAGGCAGCTCTGTATCAACAACAGAAGAACACAAGTATTACTGTGCCAGATTCATTGGTGCAGCGAATTAATAGGTAATGAATTTACAAAAGTTTAAATAAGAACACTATTACAATATCCAACATTTCATTAGTTGTTTGACTTATAATGGAAGTAGACTACTGTAAATTTTCATAATTAATTGTTCATGTTCATCTAAATATTCTATAGAAAATTAATATCTTGATAACAGTCATTATATTGTTGATATTTTCTTACGTAAGTGTGAAAAGCATCCTTATCTGGATGAAAACATTAAAATTGAGATACAAATATGAGTTTTACGTGCACATCTTAAGGTGCTTGACAAGATTAGCTCCCTTTTATGTAATATTACAATAATAATAATAATAATAATAATAATAATAATAATTATTATTATTATTATTATTATTACATTATTATTATTATTATTATTATTATTACATTATTATTATTATTACATTATTATTATTACATTATTATTATTATTATTACATTATTATTACTACTACTACTACTACTACTACTACTACTACTACTACTACTGTTGTTATTAACATCATTGTTACAGATTGTCATTGGCTGTGAGTGAGGCCAATTGGCGTGTTCACTTACTGGGACCTAAGCTCTCAGGGAAGGACAAATTGTCTGATGATGAAATAACTGATGGTCCTGGCAGTACAAGGACTAGTACTTCCCTGACAAATATTGCCCAGTCTCTAAATGTTGTTAAACTATATAACTTGTGTGGTGAGTATTTAATGTGTTTTTCAATATTGCTGTGAAGGGGTGGAATTAATTCTGTTTGATGGTGTATATTAATGGTTATGCAGTGGATAATGCAGATCATTAAGTAGAATTTCAATAAATTTCAAACAGAAAAGGGGAAAGAATAAAAAAGTCTTTAATATATTGAGATATTGAGATTCGAGTTATGGAAGTAGTAGACAAGTTCAAAATTGAAAAGGGCCAAAACAATGAGCAACGTTCTTGTGGATCTTCGAATTACAAATGTAATGTGCAAAATTAATTTAATAGGAAATATAAATAAATGTAAGTTGGACTCTGCTGTAACAGTAACATGGAATTCTTTTGAAAAACCTTGCACAAATGTAAGAGAGGCTGACATTAAGCAAGTCCAAAATTATTGTTGTTCAGGTAATTAGATATGTCTCCACATCTCTGAGGATACAGAAATATTATTCAGGCAAGAAACAGTATTGCAGTTCGGCAGTGTTAGCTGACTCTGTTAAGGCTGCCTCAACAATGAAAGGAAAACATCTTGGTTTATATGTTTTCACTCAAATAGTCTTTTGTCATGGTATCTTCCACGTTTTGAAGAGACAAGCCTGAAAATCATTCTCTCTCTTTGCAAACATGCTGTAATCAAGAATGCCATAATGCTACAAGGGCTGCACAGCAGTGTAGCCAGTCACTCAGTTCCCACATGACATTTCATGGATTCTAATTGTGGGTGTTCTCTAATCCAGCAGGTGCCAACCAATGGATAATGCTAAAATGTGGCGGGTTTGTAAAAAATCAACAAATTAGTTATATTTTTGCCTTATTAATGTAATAAAATTAGTTGGGTGAGTGATCTAAAGGTCTAATTCAAGAAATGATGTCGAAACCCTTGATGTCGAAACCCTTGATGT